TTCTTAGTCAAAATAGGCAGTTTGAGAACCCACTCAGGGACTTGAGGGCAATGTAGTCTGTTCTTGGCTGACAATGTGATTTGTTTCAAAATAACTCTCTTTTTTTTTTTGATACAGAGTCTCATTCCGTTGCCCAGGCTGAAGTGCAGTGGCACCATCTCAGCTCACCACAACCTCCACCTGTCAGGGTCAAGTGATTCCTGCCTCAGCCTCCCAGGTAGCTGGGACTACAGGAGCGTGCCACCATGTCCAGCTAATTTTTGTATTTTTAGTAGAGACAGGGTTTCACTGTGTTAACCAGGCTGATCTCGAACTCCTGACCTCAGATGATCCACCTGCCTCAGCCTTCCGCGATGCTGGGATTATAGGCGTGAGCCACCACACCCGGCCCAAAATAACTTTATTTTCAGAAACCAATTCTCACTCAGATGTATTGTGGCCAAGAAGTTTGGAGTTGCTGGGTTTCTAGGGATCTAAACCGGAAACACCTAAGACCCAATAAAGGCAAAAGCATCCCTGACCTGATTCTATTATAACATTTTTCTGTGAGCCCTGGGATGCGATCCCAGGCTCCCAGACACCAACCTTCTGAGCTTTCTGAGAGCAAGACCTTTGTTGGAAACAGATGCTCGGTGCCACAAAGAAAAATTAGTACTGGGTTTGTTTTTGGTTTAATAGGAAAATAAGAAAAAAAAATTAGTACTGGGACAAAGGATCTTTCAGCAGCACAATTTTTACTTTCTGGACCGCAGGAAGGGCACCCACGGTAGCCAACATGCCAGGAGAGCACAAAGAACAAAGGAAAACACACAAATTTATTCCTTACCCATTTGGGGTCGTCCTTACTGCTGCGTTTGATCTCCATTGGCCGGAGCCAGACCTCACAATGTAAACTAAAACCTGATTGGCTAATAATCAAAAAATTTTCTTAGGTAAAAGCAATGGAGAGCTGGGACACGCTTGTGAGCACGTCCAGCACAGATATCTTGGTTAAAGTACAAGGACAAAGAATGTACTATTACATGCCAGTAAGCGTGATGTCTCTAACAGCTACATAGCTACATAGGATAGGGCTTAACAAAGAGTTATTAGCACCTTATTCTTTAACAAGAAAGGAAACTTTAAAAAGTAACTTTTCTACTTCCCACAACCTTGTTGATCTTTCTATACATCAAGGTCTTAGTACAGTATCTAGAATCCTAGAACAGTGTCTAGAAACTCGTGGGTGTGTGTGTGTGTGTGTGTGCGTGTGCGCGCGCGTGAGCGTGTATCAAATGAATCAATGAATGAATGTCTGTGTGGAGAAGGCCAGCGAGTATTTCGGACAGGGCCCCAAAGTATGTGTCTCTTGGTCAGATCACCAGATCTTGGGGATCCCAGGAACTGCCCCAGCTTTGTAGGTATAAAAGTCCGATTTCTGAATACATCCAAGAGATGGCCAGAGATGAGTAGACTTGCTCATGGCAACCATACTTACAGCAGAAAGTCAAATTATACCTCTGTAACTACTGGCATATGAAAACGTACTGCTACCAGCATTCATTGGCCAGATTATTCTGCCCAGCAGACATCTCTTCATAGGACCCCCTAGGATAATCAGTGGGTTCCAAGGAAGCCCAGACTTTTCCATTCCAAGGGCCCTTTTGCAATGTGACATGGATACTTCTCCCCTCAAGAGATAGAATATAATTTTCCTTCCTTTGAATCCAGATGACTGCTATCTGTGTCTTGTGTTGACTTCTGGGCCTAATTCTTCAGAAGGACTGCAATTTCACTTCATCCTCCTGGAGGCTGACCACCATTCAAAGAAGCTCAGCCTGACTACTGAATGTGGACCGTCTACATAGATGGAAAGGCAATGGGAAATGAACTAAAGCACCCCCAGCAGGGCCAATACGCAGGTCCCACACCTGGGAGTGGGGCCATGTTGGAGGTTCTACTTCCACTGAGCTATCCAGCAGCCCCTGCAAGGAGCAGAGTCAGACTATTCTTACCGAACACAGCCGTGAGCAACAAAAGGACTGAAAGTGATTTCAAGCCACAAGCTGTTCATATACAAAACGGAAAACAAAAAGAGACGCAAAGCAAGAGAAAGTGGCTGGATTATATTCACTGCTGATGTCACTGACTTCTGAAAGTCTATTATCTCGATTTCCACTTTCTCTGCTGTCGTAATGGCCAGGCTGCCTCTACTCCAGCAAGTCCAGAGACACTTTTCTGTTTCCGACTCTCTGAACTACCCTTTTGGAGGTGCCAGTCAAACCAATCCCCTTCAGAAAACACAGTTGTTGTCTTGATTGAATTTTAGACCCTGCTTAGTTGTAAATTGAAAACCTCATCTAAGCTACTGGCTTGTTTCTAATTTCCTAGTATTTCTTGTTTGCCACAAGCCAGACTCTGTCCTAGGAGCTAATGATACAACAGAGAGCCAGACAGACAAATCCCAGGCTCATGAAATTTGCATTCCAGTATAACCTCAGATTGAAGATGTACTAGCTGTCATCTTTATATACCAGGAATAAAAATAGGACCTACAGTCTAAGTGCAGAAAGGCATACTGGGCCCTAGAAATAACCCAAATACCATGCAGCCCTCAGAATTTTATATAAGTAGATGACCAAAAGTGATTCTTCCTATAGCTTTGAGATAAGTAGTCTGAGATTACCCAACAGATAGATATGCACATGGGGCATCCATAAAATAGAGGAACCAATGTTTTCATGTGTGTCTGAAATTTGATATATGTATTTAAAAGGATCAAAGTAGTCATCACAGGAAAAAACAAATCAATATTTTATTGCAGTACACTTTTTAAAAGCAGTTTTAATGAATTTTTTTGTAGAGAGCATTTCACTCTGTCAGCCAGGCTGGAGTAAAGTGGTATGATCATAGCTCACTGCAGCTTCAAAACCCTGGGTTCATGTGATCCTCCTGTCTCAGCCTCCAGAGTAGCTGGGACAACAGTTGTATGCCACCATGTCTGGCTATTTATTTTTTTTTTTTTTAATTTTTTAGTCTTTTTTGGTAGAGATGGGGTCTCGAGTTGTTGCCAGAGCTTGTTTGTTTGTTTTTGAGATGGAGTATCCCTCGGTCGCCCAGGATGGAGTGTAATGGCGTGATCTTGGCTCACTACAACCTCCACCTCCCAGGTCTAACTGATTCTCCTGCCTCAGCCTCCCCAGGAGCTGGGATCCCAGTAGTAGTCAGGTGTCCAGGTGTGCACCACCACACCCAGCTAATTTTTAAATTTTTAGTAGAGTTGGGGTTTCACCATGTTGGCCAGGCTGGTCTGGAACTCCCCATCTCAGGTGATCCCCCTGCCTTAGCCTCCTGATGTGCTGGGATTACAGGCATAAACCACCATGCCTGGCCACAGTGTGGGTATTGAAACACTAGCCTGAAGCTATTCTCCAGCCTTGGCCTCCCAAAGTACTGGGATTACAGATAGGAGCAAAGATGCCCAGCCTTTAAGTAGCTTTTACAAACTGTTTTTGGCCTCGGTGGCTCATGCTGGTAATCCCAGCACTTTGGGAGACCCATGCAGGCAGTTCACTTGAGGTCAGGAATTCGAGACCAGCCTGGCCAACATGGTGAAACCCTATCTCTACTAAAAATACAAAAATTAGCCAGGCGGGGTGGCACACACCTGCAGTCCCAGCTACTCGGGAGGCTGAGGCAGGAGAATTGCTTCAACCTAGGAGGCAGAGGTTGTAGTGAGCCAAGATCGCGCCACTGCACTCCAGCCTGGAGACAGAGCAAGACTCTCTGTCTCAAAAAACAAACAAAAAAAAAAAACATAAAAAAAAACTATTTTTTTTATTTTGAATACTTATTGGGATGGTGGCATGACCATCTTTTCAGTTTGTAAAGGACTCTAATAGTGTAAAATAGATTTGAAGCATTTTCCCAACCCTCACTGGGATGGTTATTTCAAGTACAACGTTTTCACACAGTGTGTGGTAATCTTCCACAAAAATGTTACATATTTGAATGAAAACAGCTCAAGAAATACACTAATGAGCAAAAATATACGGAGAAAGAGGAACGCGTAGTTTTGACTCAACTGAAGAAACCAAGAGGAAACTGGTCTGCATATGAAAATGTTTCATCTTGGAAAGTCAGGTGTCAAGATTTCTGTGTGGGAATTGATATGACTTGAATCTCTCCTATTTCCTAAATAAAGGTGACATTTTTCAGTATTCATTTAAAAAATTTGTATTTGAATGGAGTTTCCAGGTAAATTGTGTCCCTTTATAAGGGAGCTCTCTATATTTCTAGCTGTTTTAATAAATGAAATCGCTTTCGGTGAGAAATTCTTATTAGATACACAGGAAGGGACTAAGTGTGTTTTTCAAAGAGCTGGTATTGGGATACCTACCTCTGTGATGTCCCTGGTCAGCTATATTGTATGTGTCGAAACATTTTGCATTTTCCTTAATTTTCTACCATTTACTGGGTGCCTCTTGTGACAGTGCCACTTAGAGGGCTGCTGATACATTATTAGGTGACTGAATTCTAAATATCTTCTGAAGTAGGATTCTATTATTGCTGTTATTACTCATATTTTACAGATAAGCTGAAGCCCTGAGAGGTCAAAGTCTCGCAGCTAGCAAATGAGCCAAGACTCTCTTGCTTTAGAGCTTGTCAACTATTCTTGCTTTTCTTTCTGAAAAACACGAAAAATATTTTTTTGTTTTGTTTTGAGACAGGGTCTCGCTCTGTCACCCAGGCTGGAGGGCAGTGGCGCGATTTCGGCTCACCGCAACCTCCGCCTCCGGGCTTAAGAGATTCTCCTGCCTCAGCCTCTTGAGTAGCTGGGACTACAGGCGCGCGCCACCACGTAAAAATGATCATTTTCTAACATGTATGCATACGAATTACACTGGAAACATAATCAGCAAAAGCGCCTATGCTAACGCTCAATACAATTGATCTTCTCACATTTAATCCTCACAACCACTACAACCACCTCAAACTCAAGCTAGGAGGGGCTGACGTACCTGAGGGCACAGCTCATTTCTGGTGTGAACAGGAGCCGCTCAGCGAAACTCAAAACTCCAAGGACCCGACTTCCTCAGGAAGGCTTTTCCCAGCCCTGCGCTTCCGGAAGTCCCGCCCCAGGAGAAAGGACGGCTTCCGGAAAAAAATTGAGACTAGGAAACAGGAAAAGAACCAGGGGCGGGGCCGATTGAGACGCTCTAGTATTCCCCTACTCTATGGTCGCTGCCAATTGACAAATCCCGAGCGTAAGACTCCTTCCTATTGGATGATCAGCCTGGCGTAGGCGGGCAGCTCTGTGCGCGGCGCGCTGATTGGCTGGATCCGCCATGCGGAGCGGCTGGGCGGTGCATGGGGCACGCGGACGGAGGTGACCGGCGAGTTTCTCAGTTCTGGTGGAGATAGGCGCATGTGGGCGCTTTGCTTCGTGTTGCGGTCCGCGGCCAGGCGCACCATGTCGCAGGAGCGCACCTTGTCGCAGGGATCTGCGCGCCGCCAGCGGCCGCCCAAGGACCCACTGCGGCACCTGCGCACGCGAGAGAAGCGCGGCCCGCCGGGGTGCTTTGAGAGCCCGAACACCGTGTACCTGCAGGTGGTGGCCTCGGGTCGCCGGGACGCGGGCGCCGCGCTCTACGTCTTTTCCGAGTACAACCGGTCAGTGCGCGGCGCCCGCGTCCCCTCAGCGACCCACGCCCAATCCCGCCGGGCCCTCAGTTCAGTAGACCTCAGAGCATCCGGGCACCTCCCAGCGCTTCGGCTTCCCTACTTCACACGTGTGGGATTTCACTGTTGCGGGGATTCTTGGAGTTTTAGTGGTTGGGAACCCGCAGATTCCTTGCGTCCATGTGATTTCTGGGGATATATGAAGAATTTAAGAGTTGGGTCTGAGCGTCCTCTTCCCAACCGTTGGGCCTGGCCTGGCACTCAGTGCTCTCGGAGCTTCATCCTCTTCCGTGCACCCCAAGGCCAGTGTGTCGTTGTTAGCATCTGGGGTGGACGGATCTGGTGAAGAGCCAGTGGTGGGGAAAGGACCCATATTGGCCCAGCAGTCGCACACAGGCCCCCACTCCACCTCTTCTAAGGAGGACTCAAAACCCCCCCATCCAAATGGCAGAAATGTGGCTCGGTAGTTCAACGTGGACTTTTAATTTTTTTTCTTTTTTTGTTCTTTTTCAATTAGATGCCAAAATAAAGCATCTAATTGGTGTCAGAGAGTTTACAGAATAAAACCTTGTGGGTGTCTTGTGTAATGTTTGTCTTTTAGGTATCTCTTCAACTGTGGAGAAGGCGTTCAGAGACTCATGCAGGAGCACAAGTGAGTCAATCTCTTGCTTTTGGGAGGAGTTGATTATGGGGCTTGAAAGCCTAAATGAGAGGCCAGTGTTTTTTTAATAGCAAAAGTGGTCATTGCTATTCATGTTATCCTGTTCAAATGTTTTCTCATTCTTAGGTTGAAGGTTGCTCGCCTGGACAACATATTCCTGACACGAATGCACTGGTCTAATGTTGGGGGCTTATGTGGTGAGTATATTCTTTGTAGTGTCAGAGGCTGGTAGTAAGTCTCCGGAATTTTAACCTGCTTTACCATTTTTCCGAGTCTGGGGTGGGCCGCTAGACTTTTTTTTTTTCAGTGGCATGATCTTGGCTCACTGCAGCCTCTGCCTCCTGGGATCGGGTGATCCTCCCACCTCAGCCTCCCCAGTAGCTGGGACCACAGGCATGCACCACCACACCTGGCTAATTTTTTTTGTATTTGTTGTACAGACGGGGTTTTGCCGTGTTGCCCAGGCTGGTCTCAAACTCTTGGGGTCAAGCGATCCTCTTGCCTCAGCCTTTCAAAGTGCTGGGTTACACGGATGAGCCACCATGCCTGGCCTGGAATCTTTTTATACCAACCCAGTCAGCTGCAGCACAGAGCAGTAATAGCTGTGACTCAGAAGAGCAGATTTTAATGTGGATACTGCCTCTTAAGTGTTACCATCCACTTAGTTTCTTGGGTTGCTAGGCCAGAGATTTGTGGCAGTAAAGTGGAGAGTCTAGCAGTGGTGATTATAGTTAATATGTTTACTGTGGATGCCATTGGCAGCCATGTGCATACCCACTGTCCGGATTACCCTGTCATTTATGTCTGTCAACTGGGGAGGTCAGCATTGTGTTGCAACCAAACTCCATGGGCTTGCTGGCAGGGACAGAAAGGAGTGAAATGTTAGACCAGTCTCCTTTCTTAGGGCTGAGGCTAGGATGAGTCACTTAAGGTGCAAAACTTAAGTCCAGCCCATCATGTGCATGATTCTTTAAATTCTGCACACTGGGTGCCTTGCTGCTTCACCCTGGTAACAGCTCACCCCATTCTAGAGGCATTTAAAGAATATTTGGTGTCCGTTACACCTCTAGCCAGCAGCGCTTCTGCTCTGTACAGGTTCCTAGTGATATTTCTGAAGCTGGAAGGAGGACATGTAGATAAATACCTGGATTAGCTGGATTAGCTTGGGGTCGTCGTCCTGGTAGTGACAACAGGTCAAGTTGATGAGAGATCTGATTTTATTCATCCTTTTTAGGAATGATTCTTACTTTAAAGGAAACCGGGCTCCCAAAGTGTGTACTTTCTGGACCTCCACAACTGGTGAGTCTTTCCTCACTCACCTTTCAAAACCAGCCTTTCCTTTTGTAATGTCAGTAACAAGAATTTTCCTTTTTGCAAATTAATCTTCTGCCCTCCAGAGATACCTTGTAGTTGAAACGCTTCACCTTTCAAGTTAAAAAGACTTGAGTTCCAAACCTGATGAACTGTGTGACCCGAACAAGTTACTTTACATTTCAAAGCTTTTGTTTATTCTTCTATAAGATTACTATAATGTTTCATAGAGTTATTTTTTCTTTTTTCTTTTTTTTTGAATTTTTTATGGATGTGGTTTTACACAATTCATAGAGTTGTTAAAGATTAAATGATGTAGCACATCTAGAGCACTAGATCACTTTATGAGATGTTTGGCACCAAGTAGGCATATAAGAAAGGGTAGCTTTTCTTTTTATTCATTAAATTTCCGACATTTTCTTACCTTTCAAACCAGCTTATTACACTCCTGAGAAGTCTTGTGTGTGTTGTTGAATATAACAGTTCATTTTCTAGCTCTTAAGAAGAAAATCACCAAGACTTTCTTGTTAAGTCTTCCCCAAAATAACATTTGGAATCCATCCATTTGTCTCTTTGATTTTTTTTTATTTGTGTCAGAGTCTTGCACTGTTGCACAGGCTTGAGTGCAATGGCATGATCTCGGCTCACTGCAACCTCCGCCTCCCAGGTTCAAGCAATTCTCCTGCCTCAGCCTCCCAGGTAGCTGGGATTACAGGTGCCCGCCACCATGCCTGGCTAATTTTTTGTGTTTTTAGTAGAGCCTGTTTCCCTATGTTGGCCAGGCTGGTCTCGAACTCCTGATCTTGTGCTCCGCCCGCCTTGGCCTCCCAAAGTGCTGGGATTACAGGTGTGAGCCACTGGGCACAGCCTGAAATCCATCCATTTGTCTCTTTTTGAGGCCGTCCTTATCTCTGCTTTCTACACCTGTAAACGACGATAGCCTCCCGTATCCATTCCTGCCTTCCTGTAATCCATCTGCCACACAGCTGCCATAGAGGTCACTTTAAGACAGAAGAGTGATGTGTCACTTGCTACCCTAAAGCCCTTCGTAGGCTCCCCCTTGCAATACAGTCCAAAACACCCTGATATAGCCTATAAGTCCTGTAGGCCCCAGCCCCTACCCACACTTCCATCTGTGCCCATCACTGAGCTGCAGCTTCCAAGGCTAACTCTTAAGCCCCTCTAACTCCCTGTTCACTTCAGGACTTTTGTCCATCCACTAGTTCCCTCTGCCTCTTCCAACTGCTGCCTGTATTTTACTGAACCTTCAGGGCTCAGCTAGAGGGTCATTGACTCCAGAACTGTCTCTTCTCCAGGCAAGTTGGATCCCAGCCCTCTGTATTTTTTATTTTCCTTGCAGAGCACTTAGCATAATTGCCACTAAGCTATTTTTGTTATCTTGTTTCATTTTGTCTTCTCCACTGGTCTGATTAAATCAAGGACTCCATCTCTTTCCTGCTAAATCCTTGGCATATGACATAGTGGACGCTTAGTAAACATTTGTAATAAATGATGTTCCAAATACTAAGATTCGTTTTATGTTGATACCTACTGGTAACCTTTAAAATACTTGAATACTTGCTGTGTTCTACGTTTGTTTAACCATAATTGCTCATTTCTTTGTTTCTCATTAGGAAAAATACCTCGAAGCAATCAAAATATTTTCTGGTCCATTGAAAGGAATAGAACTGGGTACGTCTTTGTCTGTGACTCATTATCTGCTATTTCTCACTCATATATGCCCTGACCTTTCAAATTAAAATCCATTAAAAACATCAAAATTAAACCTCAAAATCAAATGCTTCATCACCATGAAATGGTGGTGGTGATTTGTTTTTGTTTTTTTCACAGAGTCTTATCTCTGTCACCAGGCTGGAGTGCAGTGGCACAATCTCGGCTCACTGTAACCTCCACCTCCCTGGTTCCAGCAATCCTCCTGCCGTAGCCTCCAAAGTACCTGGGACTACAGGCACACGCCACCACACCCAGCTAATTTTTTGTGTTTTTAGTAGAGGTGGGGTTTCACCATGTTGGCCAGGATGGTCTCAATCTCTTGACCTCATGATCCACCCACTTTTGCCTCCCAGAGTGCTGGGATTACAGGCATGAGCCACCTTGCCTGGCCAGACATGGGTTTTTTTAAATAGTGCCTGTTGACATTTTCTGTGCTTCCACCTCAATGCTGCAAAAATAGGGACCAGATAGGCAGGAGTAATTGAACAGCTGATCCATGCCTGTGTACGTGCTGTGAGCATTCTCCATTTAGACAGGGCGCCTGCCTCAGTTCTAGAGGTGCTTCTCGATGTTGCTTTGAATTTCCTGTAACCAGGGGACAGGGCGGTGGGTGCGATGAGGGGCTCTTAAAGGTTTTGTGGCCAACTTTGTACATTGAACCACAGCTCTAGCTGTGCAGGGAGGCTTACGGCCTCTTGATGGGAAGAGGCCTCACTGAGGATGCTAGTAGGGC